GCCCATTCAGCAGCTGAGCGATCCCTGCTGCCCCCCACTGCCCCAAGCTGCATAAGGGGCTCTGCCATGAGCCCCCCAACCCCTGCCCACTCTCCCAGCCCCCCACACCATGGCTGCTCCACCTGCCCCAACTCTAGCCCTTTAAGTAAAAAAAACAACACCTCCCAACTCACCGGCTGCTGCAGCGGCCTTGGGGCTTCTGGGGCTTGTGCAGAGCCCCCCGACATGGTGTGCGGCAGTGGGGGGCAGCAGGGATCACCCCTCACCAGTCAGAAGCTGGTGAGTGGGGACTTTTCTTTTTTTTATTAAAGGGACAGAGCTGGGTGGGGTGGGGCCCTCTGGATCTGTGGGGCGGAGGCAGGCTCCTGCTGTGGGCTGGGTTCTGCTCTTTGCTGCTGCTGCCCTGGGAGCTGCACAACACCATGCACCAGGCAGGCAAGGGACACGGCGCAGTCAGCGTGTGGCAAGCACATGGTGTCAAGCTGCTTCTAGGGCAGCAGCAGTGTGGGGATGCTGAGACAGGAGACATGGAGGCTGGCTGAAGCGCACTAATTAGCACACTCCAGCAGGCTCAGTTAATCAGCACACTTAATTAATCAAGTCTGCTCTGATGCACTGTAATTACAGCACACTGGAGCAGCCTCTGGGCACATCTACAGGCACCCTTGCTCTTTAGCTTCCAGACGATTGCACCCTGGTTTGGGAGGGAGTCGGCAACAAATTGGCAACATTTATCAAGCACTATTCTTCCCCCCTACAAATGGGTGCCCTCTAGTTTAATGAAGGTGCATGTATGGATGCTCAGCATTGAGCCTGTGCAACCTGTAATTACATGAACAATTTATTTTCCTCATAAAGAACCTTGCTCCCAAGTGCAAAGTAAGAGAAATTTTAACAATAAAAAAACAGTGCAAAATGTAACTTTCTAGATTACAGTGTCCCCCTGAGAGTACAAGGAGTGTGGCTTTCCCTAGGAGCAGACATCTATTTGCTATGGCATGTAGACTGTGTAGCTAAAGTGTATATTACACAGCTATGCAGGTCCCAGAAATTTAAAAGACAGAGAGCTGTAACAGGGCAAAAATCCAAATGGCACTACAGTATTAACTGCTTCCATGGTGCAAGCAATTTAGCTTGGGATGACAGAAAAAGAACATCCACAGTCCAGGGCAGGCTCCAGTCCCAGGCATCTTCTCCTCGTTTGAAATGAAACCAAGCAAAATATTAAAGCTCTCTGTTGGTCTTGTTACATCATTGCCCTGTGGGTTTAATGTTATTCACTAAGTGGGTGTGGGAGCACAACTGTATACACATACACTTGGATCAAACAGCATCAGGTGAAAGGAATGTCACAAGGAAATGCAGAAAGCATTCACAACTGGTTTATGAGCTGCCTGTGCTGACAGCTCCACTCAGGATGATGACAGCTTCAGTGCCTCATTGTCTTTAATATTTCAGAGTATTTTATTTACATGCAGTCATTTTACAAAATGATTTTAAACACAAACTAAGTGGATGGTTAAACCGCTGAAGGTCTCAAATAGCTTAGCATGCTGAAGTGACTCATAGTTTTCTTGGATTCTTTGGATGTCAAACTAATATGGTCTAGACAAGACAATGCAGGTAAGGGAGTGGGGGGGGTGTTGCCTTCTGTAGTTGAGATCTGGTCTCCTCTCCTCTGGCTTAGTAATTTTAAGAAGAAACTACACCAGGCACACATTTGGGGCAGTAAAGGCCCTCTTTTGTTTTACACCCCCTCCCCCTTCTGCATTTACTGTAAATAAGAAACCTGGCTTCTAGTCGCATATGCAAGGGGATCAGCCTGCTAGCCTAATTGGCTAGCTGGACAGTGGTCTTTTTTTTTTTTAATTAATTGGTTAAGAGGAAAAAATATAAACAAGGCAAGCCCTGATTGGAAAAGCTTGGGCGATGTCACGCCAGGCTATATTGGAAACTCCCAGGTAAGGTGCTCTCTTTTTGTGGGGGGCTTGAGAGACAGCTGCTAACAGAGGCTGCTGAGTTGGGAGCTGGAGAAATTGCTCCCTCTGGGGGTTGAGGGGTCGTCCCCTGCTTTTTACTGGAGAAGCGAGTTGGAGCTATGTGAACCATAAAGCTGGCAAGTCAGTCAGCAATACAGAAGTCCTTGACTTCAGGAAAGCTGACTCTGACAAGCTAAGGAGGTTTATCAGTGAGGCCCTAAAGGGCCACAACCCAATGGTGAGGGGAGTTCAGGACGAATGGTTCCTCCTCAAAGGTGCAATCCTGGAAGCACACGCAAAGTCTATCCCGTCTCGGAGGAAAGGCAGCAAAAGGGCACAGCAGCCCCCTGGGCTCTCCAGGCAACTAGCGAATCTCCTGCGTCTTAAAGGGAAGACCTACAAAGGATGGGGGACTGGATCCATCACCAAGGAGGAATACTCTGCTCTGGTCCGGACATGCAGGGAGCAAACCAGGAAAGCCAAGGCTGTGATAGAACTCCAGCTAGCTACAAATATCAAGGACAATAAAAAGTCCTTTTTTAGATACGTGGGGAGCTGGAGGAAAAGCAAGGGCAACACTGGACCCCTGCTGAACCAGATGGGACAACTGACAACTGACGCTCAGGAAAAAGTGAACTTGCTAAATGGGTACTTTGCATCAGTTTTTCACCAGTCCTATGGGACAACCCTGCCCACTGCAGGACAGGGAGGCCTGGGTGAAGCAGATTCCTTACCATCCATCAAAGATGACCTTGTGAAGAAACACCTTGACAGGCTGGATACCTTCAAGTCATCCAGCCCTGATGGTTTACACCTAAAGGTACTCAAAGAGCTGGCAGACATCATAGCTCAGCCCCTGGCACAGATCTTTGAGAACTCCTGGTGCTCTGGTGAAGTGCCCGATGATTGGAAGAAGGCCAATGTGGTGCCTAGCTTCAAAAAAGGGAGGAAAGTGGATCCATCAGCCTGACCTCTATCCTGGGGAAGGTCTTGGAAAAGATTATGAAAGAGGCCATCCTATATAGGCTAGCTGACGGCAATAACCTGAGGGATACCCAGCAAGCGTTTGTTGTGGGTAGGTCTTGCTTGACCAATCTCATTTCCTTTTACAACCAGGTGACCTATCACCTGGACAAGGGAGAAGAGATTGATGTCATATATCTTGATTTTTAAAAAGCCTTCGATCTGGTATCCCACAATCGCTTCTTGGCTAAACTGGCTAACTGCGGCCTCGACCTCACCACGATCCTCTGGCTGGGGAATTGGCTCCGCGGCAAGACCCAGAGCACAGTGGTTGACAGAAGTCAATCATTGTGGTGCCCTGTGACCAGTGGGGTCCCTCAGGGCTCTGTCCTAGGGCCTTTACTTTTTAACATCTTCATCAATGATGTAGACATCGGTGTCAGAAGCGGGCTGGCCAAGTTCGCCGACAACACCAAACTCTGGGGTAAAGCATCCACACCTGAGGACAGAAGGGTGATCCAGGCAGATCTTGACAGGCTCATGAAATAGGTGGACAAGAACCTGATGGGCGTTCAACACTGAAAAATGCAAGGTTCTCCACCTAGGGAGGAAAGACCTGCAGCATGCTTATAGGCTTGACAGTCCTACGCTGGTTAGCACTACGGATGAAACGGACTTGGGGGTCATGATTGACCACAAGATAAACATGAGCCTTCAATGTGATGCTGCGACTAGTAAAGTGAGCAAAATGCTGGCTTGC